TGTAATATTAAACAACAATAACGACAATAAATTAGTAATATTTACATTAATAATACTAATTAGTCATTATGACGTTAATAAATGTGAAAATAACAACAACAACATTAATAGTAATATTTATTTTAACAAATAGTAATAATACTAGTATGGAATAACGATATTTAAATATCAATTTTAATAACTAATTAGTGATAATAACGATATTGAAGGTGATAATAGCAATAATACAACAATAATAAATTAAAGATAATGTTTATTTTTATAATAATAGTAATACTAATTAGTAATAATATTAATGATGATACTTATAATACTAGGCCTACTTAGTAATAATAGGGTAATAATATCGATAATAAAGGTGACAACAACAACAATAATATTAATAATAATAATAATATGAGAAAAATACTAATAAAACGCCCATAACAACAACTTTTTAAATTACTATTATTAAAATTATAATACTAAGACTAATAAATAATAATAATAATATCAATAATAATAATAAAAAATCGAAAATTATTTATTATTTATATGGTACTGTAATAATAATAATATCAGCAAAAATTTGAACAATATATAATGTTAATGCTAAGACTAATAATATTAAAACTAACGTTAATAAAAACAACAATAATAATAACAACAATGACAACAATAATAACAGCAATAATAATAACAATTAGTACAATGTAGTACCAGTAAATGACTTGTGGCCGAGATGACTTGTGGCCGAGTTGATTTGTGGCCGAGATGAATTGTGGCTGAGTTGACTGTAGCCAAACTTTTTGTGGCCGAGTTGACTTGTGGCCGAGTTAACTTGTGGCCGAGTTGACTTGTGGCCGAGTTGACTTGTGGCCGAGTTGGATCAAATTCACCCAAGACTACTAGGCCTAGGTACTAGGGGTGTCGGAATTGTTCGGGCGCCATGTATTTGTATGGAATGCCATATAGGCGCAAAACTATGTGTAGACTGTGCATAGGCTGTGGTAATCCATTGCTGCTACTGTACAGTACAGTATCCTTGATTCGTGTTTTATTTTACAGTAAGTGGTTTTAAGCAGTTGAGGAGGGCATTATTACTGTACTGTACTACTGCCAAAACAGTGGTTTTTATTATTAGGTTTGTATATGTTAATAATACTTTGGCTTCATATATAGTACAGTATTTTGTTTTGTCTTTTAAACAAATAATCAAACCAATGGATTTTATTGTTTGTATCTTACTTTAAAGTTATTGATGCCTATATTATTGCTAATGTATGTTTTGTTTTTGTATTTGCATTTATATGTTAATAATATTATGGGACCAGAAGGCATACGTAAATCAGGGGATTTGTAAAATGAAGGTTGGGTTAAATTTTTTTTACCTTTAAACTATACATACGCAAGACTCAATCAACGTATGTTATGAACAAACGACAGTTACCTACACTACTGTAGGCCTAAAAATAAATAAATCAATCAAATCAATCTTTATTGTCCAAAATAACAAAATGTATAGTGGAAATTATACAAACAAAAGCCTACCAAGTGTTCAAATCGCACAATCAATAAAAAATTACATAATCAAATGTCAAAAAATGAAGCTTCAAAAAGGCCTACAGGTATATCAATTAATAATAGATTATAAAAATAAAATTTGAATAAAGTTATAATATAATTTAATGCTTTTACTAATCACTTTACGATGTCATAATAATAAAGTGAAAATAAAACCATGTGGCTGTAGTGTATTAATTCTTAACCTTACTGTACATCTTTTATTTAACTATAAAAACATGAAAATATTGTATTATTACCTATAGTATATGACAAAGGTATAATTGGGAATTCCCCTTCATTTCTATTCTAAACAACAGAGCTATGGTGTTGTCTTGATGTGCTGAGACAAACTAATACCAGGTGCACTGGGCGAGAAAAGATTATGTCTTGTCATTTGTGTAAAAAGCTATTTAGGAGAATGCTCTGCAGGTAGGGGGAGGGGGGCCTCCACAGTAGCATTATATATATTTTTTAAAATCAACACAATAGTTTATACTGTGATTTGATATTGGTTAATATTTTAATAGATAAGGTCTCTTCTTACTTACTGTAAATTGCTAGTGTATTAGTAGAACGAGTCTTGTGGCCCCCTCCGGTCTTTTTAAACTGGTGACTGAAGCTTTGCCCCAGAGAATACACTTGGTCAAGAATGCATTACAATGCTGGGTACAGTAGTAGTAAGGGTGCTCGGGCCACTTTAGGCTGGAAGCCGGGACTTTGCTTCCCTACTGTAGAGCACACACGTTACGCCACTGATGGTATGGACATGACTATTGTGGGTGGGGACGTTCTCTTAGATAACTCGCTCAGGTTTTGCTGGTTACCATGCAAGACTATCTAACCACTTTAATTATAATTATGTGTGTCTGTTGTTTTTAGGTCTTTTTTTCATCTGGGCAGAAACCATAATCACCATGTCCAGTGTTTTAGCAGGTAAGGATTTTGCAATTACATGTACTGTACATGTACTGTAATTTTTAAAATTAGCTAAAAGCTATAGAGAATAGAACTATCAACTTTTTGTTTTTGGAATTTACTCATTTCAAAGCTTATAAATTCAATAGTAACAAAATCAAATTCAATGTTGATGATCTATGAAATAAAGCTAAAAGAAATTCTATATAGGAAATTCTGGAAATTTGAACATATAAGGTAAAAAAAAAAAATTATTGCGTTGGACACGTCTGACCGACCCAAATTTTACGAAATTAAGGGTCGACATTTTAGTTTTTTTTCCTTCATATTCTTTTATGAGCAAATAATGCTGGAATAGAACTATCAACCTTGACAAGGTTACAGGGCTAAGGCTAGCCTATTTTGCTGGATGGTATGCGATGCAAATCCAAAATTGTTGTATTATTTGTGTATTTTCTACTTTTTAGGCATAAACACATATTTGGTTGTTTAAAAAAAAGAACAAAACAAAACAAAGGTTTTCCTACCAATCTACCAATTTTTCGGATTTTCCTAAAATGTGGCCAACACAATTTTTTTTTTCAGCCTAATCAGAAACACATTAACTCACTTTCACCTCACCATTTAATCATTAACTTGGTTCTTAATTCACAGCAAAAATAAGACTGAGACCATTAAACTAATTATGTATATTTATATCTTGGAATAAATTCATATGGACTGTGGATATGTTTAAAGAAATGTCTTTGTTTAACCAGAAACACAAAATTATTGCATACCTGCCAAACAATGTAGTTATGGTGGGTGGGGCAAACCCAGCCCTGGAGTTTTCCACCCAGTCTAAAGCCAGTTTCATGGCCCTCCACCACCTTTTTTAACCCCTTTGTCCATCCTTAAAAATTCACTCTTATTTAGAGATTACCAATGTTATCACCAACTCACCCTTAAAATGTCTACCACCCACCCTTTGATTTTTTTCAGCTACTACCCTGTCTGCCATGATTCAGAAGTTACCTACAGTAGGTTATCCTTTCTCAAAAAGTCAGCCATTGTGTGACGGTGTAGATTACGCCCTCAGAATAATGAGATTCTGAGAGGGGTACTGGTTCAGGACAATTAGGAAAGGACATCTCTTTCATCTGATGGCATACTTTAGTGCTTGAGAAAGAATAGCTGAAGTAGCATATGAAATGTTACAGTTATACAATAATTTGTTGTTTCTGGTTAAAACAAAGACATATTTTTCCATACAATATATTCATATTATTTTGTGCTTATATCTGTAGATAATCAGAAAGCATTAGAAGTGCTCGGCAACATCCAGGCAAAACTTGCTGATGCAGGGGACACATCAGTTGAGGATGATATCGCTTCTATGATCTGCATGCTTGAGAGCCCTCTTTTTAAGCAAATCCTCAACATCCAGTCCTCCATACGGGAGCTCAAAATGCATGTTGAAAACCCCTCAGCCGAACCGATTGCTGACTTTAGCTTTTCACAAGATGGTCAGATTGTCTTCCATGAGCCGGATGATGATGAGCAGCCGCCTGGCACGCAATTCTCATATGACAACAATACTTTTGAATATGACAACCCATTGTATGCTGATTTGGATCAAGGAATGGCAGAACAAGGCCCTTCTAGTCCCAATCTACAGAATTATGATGCCTTGATTGAGTTTCAGGCTCAGGGACGAGAAGTACTTAATATTCAGTTGCAGAAGCCTGAGGTTGGAGGGCTAGGCTTCAGTGTCGCTGGATTAAAGAGCGATCAACACGGTGAACTGGGGATATTTGTCCAACTTGTTCAGCCAGGTGGTACGGCTGCAAAGTAAGTAACTCTGAATATCGTTACTATTTCAAAAGATCCATACATGGTGACATCTGTGGAACCAGCTGTACAAAATATGTACGAAGTTGAATTTTAACAAAGTCTCAATAAATGCACTATCCACACTATCAAAATTTTTTTTACAAAAAGCTGTTGTATACCCATATATAGTCATGATGTACCCATATATAGTTATGATATGCCTATATATGGTCATGATGTGATGTCATTACCATATTTAGACTGTCATATGTTTTGTCAAATAAAATTTGAACAGGGCCTAATAATTCATTGTTTGTTTAGGGATGGACGGCTTCGTGAGCATGACCAGATTTTGGCTATTGATAGACAAGTTCTTGACACATCCATCTCGCACCAAGATGCCATTGGTCTTCTTCAGCGAACCAGCGGGACAGTGCACTTGGTGGTTGCTCGTGGACTGCTCCCTGCAATTGTTGAAAAACCTGCTGGGTCAACAATCTCAACACAAGCAGAGGTCAATCAGGTAATAGGCAGCTTTCGATTTGTGTGAAAACGTGATGCTAGAACTGATTTACTCATGCATGAACGTCCTACATTTGCTACACAACATATATTTGGTCAATTGTGTCTGCAAATTACTTTAAAAACATTTAATATTTGATATAAAAGAAAACAACACACAACGCAAAGCTGGTTGCACAAACCTAAATCGCATAAAATAGTTTACACTGACACATTGCACATCACACTCCCCAATATCATCAGGTCAAAAAACACTTTATTACTGGATTGAATTGGATTTTTTTGGAGTGATATACATCAAGAATAATCCATGAAAGCCCTAAGTGGGGTTCTTCTGGTAATGAATTGGGCAGTACACTGGAAGACAATCTCCTACTCTTTTCCAAAGATTGTAGAGCATTCTTTAGTGTGAACATGAGGCATTTTGCACATGGCTTAAATGTCTCATCCGAAAGACTGTACGCTATTGAAGCTTGCATTTCAGCCCTCCAGCTGAAAGACAAGGGGAGAAGCGATGGGAGTTAAACCGAGGATCGAAAGATCTCCATGGTTCAGCACACACACACAGTTTTGCTGACTGAGCTGCTCGAAAAAGACAACATGTCACAGCTGATATATACAACCCCAATATGTTTATAGAAAATTTCATGAATTGTCTTTTGCCCAACTTTTTTTTGGTAGGAAAATGATGGTTCACCTGAGTTTGAATTGTCTCATGTGGAAACAATTACACTACACAATGAGGGGCATGGCTTAGGGTTTGGCATTGTCGGAGGTAAAGACTACGGCGTTATTGTGAAGACTATTTTAGAAGGTGGAGCTGCAGATAAGGTGAGTTCAACTAACCTTTTTTTAGTCTCTTAGGGTGCTCTTTCATATCTTAAATTTCTGCTTCAACTTTGTTAAAGCTATGTATCTATAGTGACAATTATGATAACAGTAGTAAATATTATGTCAAGTTCTGAGGACACTATATGAAATATATGCCTGTGGGAGTCATTATTAAGAAGGTAATTTTTGAACGAAGTAATCGCTCCAAAGGCTTAATATTTCTTATAATGTCCAAAATAACTTTATTCACAGTGCTAATAACAGTATTCAACCTGCTGGTTGTGATGGGCTGCTGTAGTTGTACAATCATACTTTAAATTAAATGTGCATGTATGATAATGATCTGCTAGTATGCGCACTTAAATTTATTATTAGGTAGGCTGTTAGGTGTTGTAATGTAAGCAAAGTAAAAGTCTGTTGTGATCCAACACAAGATGCTGATGAGTTGTGTTTAAATTGTAGCTGTTTAGATATCTTTTTTATAGGTGTAATTTTTGCCCTACCTGACGTGGAAATGTATTGAATACTCAGTACATTTGAAAACAACTGCGAAAAAAATCGCAAACTGTTCTTGGGTGGGACTCGAACCCACGATCTCCAGATCACTAGCTTGGCATCATACCTCTAGACCACCAAGCTTGCGTCTGATGGCCAGGGTTGAATTCGAGTCCAAGTAAGCAGCAGGTACTGCAGTGTTGATAGTAATTGTTATTGTCGTGATAGAATAATAGACAATAACTGGATTTGCGTCAGGAGAAACATGTATAGGTGTAATTTTTTTGATATCTTTTGTAAACGTTGATGAAGCTAAGCTTTCTTTTAATACCACAGGATGGACGTCTTAAGAGTGGAGATGTGATTCTAAAGATTGGAGATAAAAGTCTGCAAGGAACCAGTAGTGATCAGGTGGCAGTGATCCTACGAGAGGCTGGCAGTGATGTGGTGCTTACAGTTGCCAGACCTCCACAACCTGCTATTGAAACACCATTGAAGAGCATGGTGAATGTCTTCTCTTTGTTTTTGTGATAATTTCTATCATGCTTTATGTCTTGGGATCTCAATTATTATTTCTTAGTTTCATCAAAAACATTAATTAGATTTATATACTGTATGGCAACTAAATTTAAAAAAAAACACAGAGTTAACCACTCGTTTAAATCTCACTTGTCTAGTCAGTAGTTTGTGAAATGTGATAAGTGTTTTTGATACTACCTTCTAGATGTTTTCAGTATCAAGAAAAAAAATTGTACATTGCTTTGTTTACAATTTTGTCAAATACTGGCTCATCATTTTTTAACTGGACAAATTTCTTAAACACAAAGATTGAGACCCTTCATTTGTAAAAGTTCCTCCCTCGGCCACTAAATTACAAAATTATTGTATACTGCCTGAGGCTTGCTGCATTTGCTGCAAAACTTCTCTTTTGTTATTGTTTTTTAGCCTGTTGCTGATGAACCAAATGAGTTTGATGTGCATCTCACCAAGGATTCTAAAGGCCTTGGTATCACCATTGCAGGATATATTGGACAGGGATCAGGTAAGGCGGCTGCTATGTTATCATGATGCAATTGGGATACTGCTTTTGATGACAGATTTGGTGAGGCAGTTATGATGTTATGATGATGGAACGCAAACTCAAGCTGCCTGGGGGGGGGGTTATTCCATAATGCTGCAGCAGCTACTTCTTCTCTCCGTCTCTCCTATAAGTTTCTTTTATAGTTTACTAAATTTTTGTCGACTTAATTGAGACTTAAATAAAAACAAAATTGAAGGACCAACTGAGAATCTTGGCCATCATGTTATTCATTAATTTTTATATTTTTCTTTGTAGAACAAATGAAGGGAATTTTTGTGAAGAATGTAGCACCAGATAGTGCAGCAGAAAAAAGTGGTGCCATTATGCCTAACGATCAGATTATAGAGGTAGGATACCTTTAAACAGTATTCATCAAAACAGTGAAAGTCAACAAAATGATATGAAACTGCTATCAAAATCTGTACCTAAACACAATTCACTAATTCCATGAAGTATGCTTTGTAAATCTAAAACATGATCTTACCACTGCATTTCATAACATGCAACATGCAGCTTCAGGGGCGTACTGTGGGGGTGTTGATGGGTGCGGTCGACCCCCCCTTTTAAAGAAAGTGCCCTTTAAATATGCTCGCTTCACTCACAGATAACGCATCCCGCGAATTCTGAAAGCTTCGCTAAATTGCTCCGAGTTCAGCTTGGCCCCTGCGCTTTCGTTTCGACCCCCCCTTAGATTTTTCACCGTACGTCCCTGAGCTTAATTGCTTTTAGTGGTCAAAGCGAAGTTCACATACTAGAGAGTAATCGGGTGATGCGAGCGCACCCTCTAGTCTTCTAAATTTTCATCATCAATAAAAGCGCTGAAACCATTTTGTGGACATAAGATAGAATGGGAAGCCACCATTTTAACCAACTTTAGGAATGTGCATCCTAAAGCTTAATTGCCACCATTTATCTGGTTATGCTTCTTGCCTTGATCAGGTTGATGGGCAAGATCTAAATGGGTATACTAATGAGCAAGCAGTGGAGGTCTTGAGAAAAACAGGTGCTGTGGTACATCTCAAGCTTAGCAGGCACAGAGTTAGTCATTTCATGGTTGAATGTGAGTAATAACAAGTGTTAGTTTGTGTTATATTTTTTGGTAATGATATTAAAAAGAATATATATTTATACTGTATGTTCAGTACGGTTACGCTGATGAAGAGAGCAGGAGCTCTTGAAATATTCATAAAATAAATTGTCTATATCCTGAAATGTCAACCTTGTTTATCCTTTTTTTTTATTAACTTCGTATTGCTTTTGAAGAAACTAATGGCCGTAATGGTAATTATAATCATTTTCCAAAGCAACTTTCCAACACTTACCCTTTAGAGGACAAATGTTGACGTGGTTTTTTTTTCCTCAGCTCCTGATGGTGCTGGAAATATTGGAGAGGCTGATATACTGCCAGTTACAACATCATATCCTCCACCAGGCCGCACTGGAGAGGCTGATACACCGCCAGTTGCAGCATCATATCCTCCACCAGGCCGCCAGTGTGTGGAGGAAGAGACTGGTGAAGTCAGGCCTTGTGGTCAGTACAATTTATTTGTTTCTCTTTATAATTAAAAGCTTTAGTTTTTTTTTAAATTTTTATGACAATGATTATTTTTGATAAAGACTTAAATTTAAATGATACTATTGAATAAAGATGTTTTCAATTTATATTTGTTAATTGGATACTTATTTAAACAATTGCCCAATTCACCACCAGAAGGACCCCGCTGGAAACAAAGTCTGGGAACTATGCTATTGTATTTATATATTGTTCATGTGCTAGAATAGGGATGTAGTTTTGTGTTGAAATACTTTCAAAGTCCTACAAACACCAAGATTACTTTCTAACCTGAAAATAACCTACTACTAAAATGAATGAACCCATGACTATAAACTTGGAAGGCCTGTCCCTACTACCATACAAGGATAATTAAGCCTTGCTTATTTTACAGTCATTATGCCAGAAGTTGATGCTAAGATTGCCATGTGGCAGGGGATGCTTGGTATGGATGTGGAGATTATTATAGCTTCTCTGGAGAAATTCCATCATGGTGGCGGTCTTGGCATCAGCCTTGAGGGCACTGTTGATATAGATGAGCAGGGTAATGAATTTGGACCACATCATTACATCAGAAACATCCTACCAGATGGCCCTGTTGCTCTAGATGGCAGACTTCAAAGTCAGGATGAACTTCTTGAGGTATGTTTAAAAACCTCTGATATTGAATCATTACTTCAAAGATACTTAAAAATCATTTAATTTATATATAATTGACTTTTAATATATTTCGCTGATTTTATTAATATTATCTTTTCAAACAAAAGTGGTTGCATCTATGAATTTTATGTTTGCGCTTTTTAAATTTAATTTATCTGAAGTGCTTTACTGCGTTTAGTAATCGATTTTAATAATAATAATAATAATTCTTTATTTGTCCTCGTATATGTATGCCTACACACTGGGAACTTTGGGCTGGGTCCCCGGGGACCCACGGCTGGCATAGCTCGGGGCCAACTACCCCACTTACTCTACAACCTCAAACGGTTACAGACTGATACATACATGGTCCTTAACTCGCCTAACTCTCCTGACAGGGTTATTCGAGGAGCTGAGCGTTTTTTGTTATAAAAGACCCGAATTCAATACTCGATGCAGAGCCGGGTATCATACCAATTAGCCAAACACTCAGCTCATCATTTACAGAATATTTACAGAATAAGCTTCAAAGTAATCCATTGTGTATTCTTAGGGCACCAGGCACCCCTGGTGTCATTAGTCATTACAGGAGAAATTGAATATTGCACATATTTGCTGTAGAATTTCAGATTGTAACTTTGTACATCAGAAAGCATTCATAATCTCATTGTTTTGTATCTGTAGGTTAATGGCACAAGACTTCTTGGTGTGAACCATCTTGAAGTGGTCAACATCCTTAAAGAGCTGCCATTGCAGGTGCACTTAGTCTGTGCTCGACATCAGCATCCAATTTTTCCGAATGATCAAGAGAATCAGTCTGAATCATCAGATCATGCTGTTGGAGTTGAAGAAGTCAATTTGGACTTAACCCAGGAAGCCACTGCAAATCCTCAGAGCTTAAAGAGTGAAGTTGGCCAAAGCAGGGACTCTCTAGCAGGCCTAGCTATGTGGAGTGATGATGTCCAGGTTATTGAACTCCAGAAAGGAGCAATGGGATTAGGCTTCAGTATTCTTGATTATCAGGTATGCTTGTGTGGACCAGTGGCGAGGGGGGGCAGCAACCCGGGCCCCCTTAAATTGTTTGAAATTTTTAAAAAAAAGTGTGGAGATATAAAGAAAATTATATTCCAATTTTAAGTCTGAGAGTGCAATTTCCATCCATGTAGGTGCCAAAATCAAAAATTTTCTTACTTAACCCAAACCATGGTGGGGCTGAGGTGGTATAGATCCTCCATCTGTGAAAGTGCCTCCCCATGCCTCCTCTATTTTGAATTCCTGGATCCGCCACTGTGGACTGTAAATAGTTTGTAAGGTATTGATGTTTGAAAAATTGTAAATTGCCTAGATGTGTTAATTTTAGTAAAGGGCATGGGCTGATTTAGGTGTGTGTGTACATAGACACTTATGCAGCTGTTTAAAAACGAAGTAGATGGATATTGAAGTTACTTTTTACCTCTATAATTATGTATTTTCATTTATTATACTGCATAGGACCCAACAAACTCATCACAGATTGTAATAGTGATCAGAAGTCTAGTTCCTGGAGGTGTGGCTGAAACCGATGGACGGCTGCTCCCTGGGGATAGACTCATCTCAGTTAATGATTCGAATCTTGAGAACTGCAATCTGGACATTGCGGTACAGGCTCTGAAAGGAGCGCCGATTGGCGTGGTGCGCATCGGTGTGGCTAAGCCACTGCCGTCTGCTGAACATCCCATACAACAGGTTAGTCTATGTGGACTTGTGATCATGAGAACGTGCCACACAACCAGAAGATTGTCTACCTGTAAATTATTGACTCAAGTATATATGTTCCTAATCCTCTCTTTATTCTTTGCAAGCACATTTTATTACAAGTTATGAGAGTGTGATTTTATTGTTGTTTGTAGTTTTGGCAACACAGATAGCTGTAATTGAAAGGTGGTGTGTTCAATGGATAGTTTGAAGTACATAAGGTCATGTAATTGTTTACAAATTTAAATTGTTTACAAATCATATATATCTAGTAAGGATTACCATATGTTTGTACTCCTTGTTAGGTGACATCATCTGAACCCATTGGACCAATGGAAGCTAGGATTATAAAAGAAGAGCCAATCACAAGGGAGGAAAAGAAAGTTGTTCATGCAGATTTATTCAGTGCATCTGCCTTCGATAATGATCAAATTAAACCAAAATGTAAAGGTACAACAGTATTTAGAATCAATTTTTTTTATCACAGGTTTAATAATTTATTTTATGCCAGGAAATATGTCATGCAACTGTCCTCTCACTAGCGGAGCTGTTAGTATTAAGGGGAAAAGAATCCTTATTTTTGACAGTGGGAAGAAAGAAAAAAGTGGAAAGAGCAACTGTTGGAATAAATAAGCCAATAGTAGAAAATAATGTACAAGTTGCTCTAGTCCACAGGTAGGAAAAATGTCAGTGATATTTTTGTGGCTCGCGAAAGTTAATTACAAACCCTAATCACCTTGTTTTTTTGCGGCCCGGCACCTATCATCTGTAGAAAGTAATAGTAAAACTGAGCATAAAGTGGCCATAAAACAGTGTTGAAGGTTTTTGGAAGTGCACTGAAAATTCACTTTGGTCCTCCCACTCATTTTAATGCCCACCCCTGCTGTAGTCTTGATGACATATGTTTTTGACTGAATATATTCCGAATATCCTGGTTTGATACTTTGGTGTATTGCACATTAAAGAAATCCATTAATCAGTCTACCATGTATAGTCCAGCGATGGTCAAAGAGCTACAAAGTTTTGTCCATACCTAATAATCCATGTGCTAGACAATAAGGATTAAAATTTTAAAAACCAAAATTTAATATTAATATTTTTTATTGAATTATTTATGAATTTTACAAATAAATCTGTAATCATAGTGTCAAAAGAAGAAATATCATCTCGATAAAATGTTGTGAATTTCAGACAAAATTGAAGAGAAACATGAATTTGTTGCTCCTGATTTGATTCCTTCGGCTGCTGCTGTGACAGCTACAGTTGCTGCAAACAAAGCCAGTACTGAATCTAGTGTCCCATCAGATCAGACATCAACTGCAATAGCTGCAAACACAGTCAGTCCGGAGACTAGTGTCACGTCGGACGAGGTAGGCAAAACTTTCGAAAACCTTCAAGCAAATTACTTTTACTATTATCATTTAATTCTACATAAAATGCTAACTGCCTTGTTAAGCAACATATTCCGGACCAAGGTAATGACACTGCAAAATGCTACTTTTTACTAAAAATGATTAATATCAAGTCTAACTTTATATTTTGAAAATGTTATTGTAACCCATTCAAATAGGATTCTAACATATATTATATAATTACTTGCATTTACTGATTTCATGATTATTTGAAATGGAAATGAAACACTTCCTTAAGTCAACTTTATCTTCATTCAATACTAAAAATTAATGATATATTTTAAAAAAAATAATATTTTTAACTTTTTGGTATTTTATTATTTGGTTTCATATTATGTGGATTTCTATGGTCAACTACTATACTAATTTTCTAACACTCTTTACTTTTACCTTTTATGTTGTTTATGAGCTTTTTCTACTTATTACTTTAAATATGCTAATTGATAATCATATTTTTATTTATTTATTTATTTCAACAATATTTTGTGAGGGTGGTCCATCCAGCCTGAGCTGATCAATTGATCAATTTTCAAGTATTGGTTGCTAGTATAAAACAAAACCATCAACAAATTCAACCAAAATAAAAAATAAAGATAGTTTGGAATAAAATTAATTGTTATAATTTATCCTTCATTTATAATTGACATAAGCTCTGTCCACACTATAAAATTTTTTAATGTGACAAGTTTGTGTGATGTGTCCATTATGAGCATGATGATGTCATGATGATGTCATATGTGGCAAAGACAAGCCAAACCAGTCACTCGTCGCAATAATCGATTTTGAGTTATTAATACAGTGTTAGAGAGCAAAATAATAGCTATAAAATGGTAAAAAATCATTCAAATCGGACATTTCCTTATGAAGTTACAAGCGTTTAACCACACAACTGTTTAAAGTACAATATATGAGAAATTAACCGTCAAAGTTTATGATTTCAGGCATTTCTCATGCAGAAACTATCTTTAAATCCTTAAAAAATATTGTTTTAACATTGAAAATGGAGAAAATAACAGCATAGAATGATGTGTAGATATATAAAGGTTAGTTTAGTGCAATAAAATAGATTTGTTAAAATTTGACATTCTGGCATATTTTGGCCATTTTCTCTGAAACACGATTTGCGACGAGTGACTGGTTTGGCTTGTACACTTTATAGCCCAACAGTTTATTTATTTTTTAAAATTTCCCCCCCCCCCCAAAAAAATTCCTTCGGT